CCCTACTTCCCCGTCTAGTTGTTATGTAACACACACCTACTCACTGTCTTCTTTACAATAGATGCGAGTATTCAGAACGCCTCTCCCTGCTTCCCTGTCTAGTTGTTATGTAGCACACACCTGCTCACTGTCTTCTTTACAAGAGGTGCGATAATTCAGGACACCTCTCCCTGCTTCCCTGTCTAGTTGTTATGTAGCACACACCTGCCCACTGTCTTCTTTACAATAGGTGCAAGTATTCAGAACGCCTATCCCTGCTTCCCTGTCTAGTTGTTATGTAACACACACCTGCTCACTGTCTTCTTTACAATAGGTGCAAGTATTCAGAACGCCTCTCCCTGCTTCCCTGTCTAGTTGTTATGTAACACACACCTGCTCACTGTCTTCTTTACAAGTGCGAGAATTCAGAACGCCTATCCCTGCTTCCCTGTCTAGTTGTTATGTAACACACACCTGCTCACTGTCTTCTTTACTATAGGTGCAAGTATTCAGAACGCCTCTCCCTGCTTCCCTGTCTAGTTGTTATGTAACACACACCTGCTCACTGTCTTCTTTACAAGTGCGAGAATTCAGAACGCCTATCCCTGCTTCCCTGTCTAGTTGTTATGTAACACACACCTGCTCACTGTCTTCTTACAATAGATGCGAGTGTTCAGAACGCCTCTCCCTGCTTCTCTGTCTAGTTGTTATGTAACACACCTGCTCACTGTCTTCTTTACAATAGGTGCAAGTATTCAGAACGCCTCTCCCTGCTTCCGTGTTTAGTTGTTATGTAACACACACCTGCTCACTGTCTTCTTTACAAGTTCGAGAATTCAGAACGCCTATCCCTGCTTCCCTGTCTAGTTGTTATGCAACACACACCTGCTCACTGTCTTCTCTACAAGTGCGAGAATTCAGAACGCCTCTCCCTACTTCCCCGTCTAGTTGTTATGTAACACACACCTACTCACTGTCTTCTTTACAATAGATGCGAGTATTCAGAACGCCTCTCCCTGCTTCCCTGTCTAGTTGTTATGTAACACACACCTGCTCACTGTCTTCTTTACAAGTGCGAGAATTCAGAACGCCTATCCCTGCTTCCCTGTCTAGTTGTTATGCAACACACACCTGCTCACTGTCTTCTTTACAAACGCCTCTCCCTAGGTGCTGTCTTCTTTACACAGATGCGAGTATTCAGAACGCCTCTCCTCTCCCTGCTACCCACCTGCTCACTGTCTTCTTCTAGTTGTTATGTAACACACACCTGCACCTGTCTTCTTTCACGAGTATTCAGAACGCCTCTCCCTGCTTTACAATGAAAACACACCTGCTCACTGTCTTCTTTACAACAGGTGCGAGAATTCAGGACACCTCTCCCTGCTTCCCTGTCTAGTTGTTATGTAACACACACCTGCTCACTGTCTTCTTTACAATAGATGCGAGTATTCAGAACGCCTCTCCCTGCTACCCTGACTACTTGTTGTGTAACACACACATGCTCGCTGTCTTATTTACAACAGGTCTCGTCACGATATGGCTAAAATATTGCCGATGTGACGTTAAATATTAACTCACTCACTCACTCACTCTTTACAACAGGTGCGAGAATTCAGGAAACCTCTCCCTGCTTCCCTGTCTAGTTGTTATGTAGCACACACCTGCCCACTGTCTTCTTTACAATAGGTGCAAGTATTCAGAACGCCTCTCCCTGCTTCCCTGTCTAGTTGTTATGTAACACACACCTGCTCACTGTCTTCTTTAGAACATATGCGAGTATTCAGGACGCCTCTCCCTGCTTCCCTGTCCAATTGGTATGTAACACACACCTGCTCACTGTCTTCTTAACAACAGGTGCGAGTATTTAGGACATCTCTCCATGCTTCCCTGTCTAGTTGTTATGTAGCACACACCTCCTGCCTGTCTTCTTTGCAATAGGTGCAAGTATTCAGAACGCCTCTCCCTGCTTCCGTGTTTAGTTGTTATGTAGCACACACCTGCTCACTGTCTTCTTTACAATAGGTGCAAGTATTCAGAACGCCTCTCCCTGCTTCCCTGTTTAGTTGTTATGTAGCACACACCTGCTGCCTGTCTTCTTTACAATAGGTGCAAGCATTCAGAACGCCTCTCCCTGCTTCCCTGTCCAGTTGTTGTATAACACATGCCTGCTTACTGTTTTCTTTACAATAGGTGCAAGCATTCAGAACGCCTCTCCCTGCTTCCCTATCCAGTTGTTGTGTAACACATGCCTGCTTACTGTTTTCTTTACAATAGGTGCAAGTATTCAGAACGCCTCTCCCTGCTTCCCTGCCTATTTGTTATGTAACACACACCTGTTCACTGTCTTCTTTACAACAGGTGCGAGCATTAAGAACACCTCTCCCTGCTTCCCTGTCTAGTTGTTATGTAGCACACACCTGCTCACTGTCTTCTTTAAAATAGGTGCAAGTATTAAGAACGCCTCTCCCTGCTCTCCTGTCTAGTTGTTATGTAGCACACACCTGCTCACTGCCTTCTGTAACATAGTAGCAGGTATTCATGACACCTCACCGTGCTTCCCTGTCTAGTTGTTGAGTGACACACACCTGCTCACTGTCTTCTTTACAATAGGTGCAAGTATTCAGAACGCCTCTCCCTGCTTCCCTGTCTAGTTGTTATGTAACACACACCTGTCCACTGTCTTCTTTACAACTGATGCAAGTATTCAGACTGCCTCTCCCTGCTTCCCTGTCTAGTTGTTATGTAACACACACCTGTCCACTGTCTTCTTTACAATTGATGCAAGTATTCAGAACGCCTCTCCCTGCTTCCCTGTCTAGTTCTTATGTAACACACACCTGCCCACTCTCTTCTTTACAATAGGTGCAAGCATTCAGAACGCCTCTCCCTGCTTCCCTGTCTAGTTGCTGTGTAACATAAGTATTCAGGACACCTCCCCCTGCTTCCCTGTCTAGTTGTTATGTAACACACCTGCTCACTGTCTTCTTTACAATAGGTGCAAGTATTCAGAACGCCTCTCCCTGCTTCCCTGTGTAGTTGTTATGTAGCACACACCTGCTCACTGTCTTCTTTACAATAGGTGCAAGTATTCAGAACGCCTCTCCCTGCTTCCCTGTTTAGTTGTTATGTAGCACACACCTGCTGCCTGTCTTCTTTACAATAGGTGCAAGCATTCAGAACGCCTCTCCCTGCTTCCCTGTCCAGTTGTTGTATAACACATGCCTGCTTACTGTTTTCTTTACAATAGGTGCAAGCATTCAGAACGCCTCTCCTGCTTCCCTATCCAGTTGTTGTGTAACACATGCCTGCTTACTGTTTTCTTTACAATAGGTGCAAGTATTCAGAACGCCTCTCCCTGCTTCCCTGCCTATTTGTTATGTAACACACACCTGTTCACTGTCTTCTTTACAACAGGTGCGAGCATTAAGAACACCTCTCCCTGCTTCCCTGTCTAGTTGTTATGTAGCACACACCTGCTCACTGTCTTCTTTAAAATAGGTGCAAGTATTAAGAACGCCTCTCCTGCTCTCCCTGTCTAGTTGTTATGTAGCACACACCTGCTCACTGCCTTCTGTAACATAGTAGCAGGTATTCATGACACCTCACCGTGCTTCCCTGTCTAGTTGTTGAGTGACACACACCTGCTCACTGTCTTCTTTACAATAGGTGCAAGTATTCAGAACGCCTCTCCCTGCTTCCCTGTCTAGTTGTTATGTAACACACACCTGTCCACTGTCTTCTTTACAACTGATGCAAGTATTCAGACTGCCTCTCCCTGCTTCCCTGTCTAGTTGTTATGTAACACACACCTGTCCACTGTCTTCTTTACAATTGATGCAAGTATTCAGAACGCCTATCCCTGCTTCCCTGTCTAGTTCTTATGTAACACACACCTGCCCACTCTCTTCTTTACAATAGGTGCAAGCATTCAGAACGCCTCTCCCTGCTTCCCTGTCTAGTTGTTGTGTAACATAAGTATTCAGGACACCTCTCCCTGCTTCCCTGTGTAGTTGTTGTGTAACACACACCTGCTCACTGTCTTCTTTACAACAGGTGCAAGTATTCAGGACACCTCACCCTGCTTCCCTGTCTAGTTGTTATGTAGCACACACCTGCTGCCAGTCTTCTTTACAATAGGTGCAAGTATTCAGAACGCCTCTCCCTGCTTCCCTGTCTAGTTGTTGTGTAGTACACACCTGCACACTGTTTTCTTTACAATAGGTGCAAGTATTCAGAACGCCTCTCCCTGCTTCCCTGTTTAGTTGTTATGTAGCACCCGCCTGCTGCCTGTCTACTCTAGAATAGGTGCAAGTATTCATGACACCTCTCCCTGCTTCCCTGTCCAACTGTTGTGTAACACATGCCTGCTTACTGTTTTCTTTACAATAGGTGCAAGTATTCAGAACGCCTCTCCCTGCTTCCCTGTCTAGTTGTTGTGTAACACAAGTATTCAGGATACCTCACCCTGCTTCTCTGTCTAGTTGTTATGTAGCACACACCTGCTGCCAGTCTTCTTTACAATAGGTGCAAGTATTCAGAACGCCTCTCCCTGCTTCCCTGTCTAATTGCTATGTAACACAAACCTGCTCAACGTCTTCTTTACAACAGGTGCGAGTATTCATGACACCTCTCCCTTCTTCCCTGTCTAGTTATTATGTAGCACACACCTGCTCACTGTCTTCTTTACAATAGGTGCAAGTATTAAGAACGCCTCTTCCTGCTCCCCTGTCTAGTTGTTATGTAGCACACACCTGCTCACTGTCTTCTTTACAATAGGTGCAAGCATTCAGAACGCATCTCCCTGCTACCCTGTCTAGTTGTTATGTAACACACACCTGTTCACTGTCATCTTTACAACTTTCTCGTCACGATATGGCTGAAATCTTGCCGATGTGACGTTAAATATTAACTCACTCACTCACTCTTCTTTACAACAGATGCGAGCATTCAGAACGCCTCTCCCTGCTCCCCAGTCTAGTTGTTATGTAACACACACCTGTTCACTGTCTTCTTTACAACAGAGGCGAGAATTCAGTACGCCTCTCCCTGCTCCCCTGAACAGCGGTGCGGAGATTATAGTGGAGGCAGCTGCAGATGGAGTCAGCATGTAGGTGTTAGTAAAGTGTATAATAATCAGCTCTTTGATAGATGACTTTCTAAACATGTGAGTGTAGATGTTTTTGGTAACTGCTCTGCTTCGTTTGGGAGGGCTGGAACGTGCTTGAGTGAATTGTGTTTGACGCTGGAACATGTCGTCTATGTACATGCAGCCTGTTAATAATGGAGAAGGGAAGTATTGGCAATAGTGCATGGTCAGAAATGACGGAATGGGTCTTCGGTCACCATGCTTGTTTTCATCGAACCCCAACGGTATGGACCGATCGTTACTGGATGTTCAGCGATTACCACTCAATTGCATAGAACGATTCTTATCATGTCAATCGATGGATGTCCAGCGATTACCAGCAAAACCATATGTTAAACTACTTCAAATAACACACAGCGTTCTGAGCGATAATGTCTGGTGAGTAATAATTATCTTCTTCAGCCCTGCAATATATCTGTTCGCCAAGGATGACAGTAAAACGGTGTTTTATCTGATTGTTCGATGGTCGCCCTATACCATCGTCTACAATACTGCTGAGGGGTCATGGGGAACTGAAGTGAGGTCTACCAGCCCTCTGCTCACACCAAATGTGACGTCAATTCTATCAATCAAGATGACAGAGACTCAGTTTCTGGTAGGTTCTGGCAGGACTTGTGAAAATACATACATGTAAATGGGGTGTAGCTGTAGCATCCTTTAATGTATTTTGTCAGTGAGGAAGATTCCCTGGACTCTGTGGAAGGTTTAACCACTGTGCTACCCCACCTTCTCGCTGAGCAAACTATCAAGATGTTTATACATTTGTTCGAACAGTGTTAGCGTGATGAAACTGTATGGCCTCATTTTATAATTCGCAGGCCACTTTTATGAAACTGAATTGGTTCGTGTCTATTCCAGATATCCAGCGACAATGACAGTCAATTCCAGGCTCCAATAAGGTTTCCTCTGCAAGAGGCCATCACCCTTCAAGTGGCCTTCACAGTCATCAAACGAGTACAGATAAAATATCGATAAGTGGAAAATATACACTACAAATATTGTTCTGATTTTCATAAGTTTGGTAATAACATTAAGCTTACATAATAGAAAACGGCTTTTGTAAAAAATCCTGATACCCAAAAAAATTTCTTGGGGACATAATCGAACGAGTGGAAATATATTTAATTATGTTTTACAAATAATGTACTGATGCCAAAACATTTAGGAAAAAAAATAATTCACTTTTGAACAATTATATTTTGTCAATTATTCTGAATCTTCGTCATTATGAAACTAGCAATGTTCAATAATTATTAGCAAAAAATAATATACAATGAAAATAATGTGTTAGTATTGATATCTCCTCACCAGAAACAAGAATCGAGTGAGCTAAAACTTTCATGATCTGTATTTCGGCTATATTGTATCCATAAAATCTGTTCAGTGATACGGCAAAAAAGGGAAGATAAAGAAACGAGGTAACAAAGAGTAGCTTTCCCAGCTGGATTTACACGATCCCTACTAGTGTTGGCGGTCATTGACAAACTTAGCAAGGTGTTAAAAGAACACATGTTCTTCAATTAAAAACGTCTAAGCACATTTCTGTCCCGTACCGTTATATTGCTGGAGTGTTGGTAATAAACGGCGTAAAATAAACTGACTCAGTGGATGAAAACGTGGTAAGAACTGGAAACAAGTGAAGCTTCATATGTTTTAAAATTGTACAAGAAGATCAAATCACAGTCAGTTGCTTAATATGTCTGTCAGACATTGGCATTGTCAAATACTCATGCTATATACGAGTGAGTGAGTGAGTTTAGTTTTACGTCAAACTCAGCAATATTCCAGCTATATGGCAGCGGTCTGTAAATAATTGAGCCTGGACCAGACACGCCAGTGATGAACAGCATGGGCATCGATCTGCGCAATTGGGAACCGATGACATGTGTCAACCAAGTCAGCGATCCCGTTACTCGCCTCTTACGACAAGCATAGTCGCCATTTGTGGCAAGCATGGGTTGCTGAAGACCTATTCTACCCCGGATCTTCACGGGTCATGCTATTTTAGATTCCACTTGTTTGTTCCCAACAGGTGCTCAGAGAATGCTTATTTGCTAATTAATCCTCCAGTTACTCAGCTAGTTTCCGCAGGTATCATCATAAGATTGAAATACTTCAGTCTGAATAACATGGAGGAGGAAAAAGAAGAAGTGCATTTCAGTATCTGAGGACACTTGATCAAGAGTAAAGTCAATATCAAGTCAATATTTTTTGGGATGGACAGATGACACAATGTAATTAGTTCAAGTTACGCTTTAGAAATCTTGCAAAAGACTTCATGTATTGCTGTTAAAAGTTTTTGAATCCCGAACAATATCTTCTAGAATACACAGCTCCATGTTTACAGCAGAAGCTAACGTCATATCAACAGCTCTTAAGTATATTAAACAACACCGTAAATATAAACAATACTTATTTTTTCCCGACTCTCTGTCGTGTCCCCAGGCTGTTAAAAATCTTTCTTGTAAACATCTACTTTATTAGAAATTATTGAGTTTATATTGAGCTTGCAACTGGCCAATGCAATGTCATCTTTTGTTGGTTGCCCAGCCACGTTGGCATTTCAAGGAATACAATGGCCTATCTTGCTGCCAAGACAGCACTCAATGAATCTGTGACACCACTTCTGATCCCATATTCTGATTAAAAAGCTAGTATTAGAACCTACATCCGCGATCTGATGCAAAATAAGTGGGACACCCAAGTAGGTATTAACAAATTACATGAAATAAAACCCTATACTGGTTACACCTACTTGGGTTGTCAGTCTAGATTTGAAGAGATCATCATGCGACGATGTCGTATTGGACACACAAGATATACTCATGAGTACCTATTGAAAGGTCGGGATATTCCGTTTTGTATCCATGGTGATGAAAGAATCACGGCTAAGCATGTCCTGCTTGACTGTGTTGAAAATGCAATCACAAGGGATATCTATTTCAAATCACGAACTATAAGGATCTTGTTAATAATGTCAGTTCTTAGTTTAGTATTGCATTTTGAAAAGAATTAGATTTGTTAACTGATTTGTAAATAGGGTTTAAAGTATCGTAAAATTAGTTTTCTTCCTGAGAGGGTACGTAGTTCATGAAACTTTCAAAGTTAATTTTTACTTACCCGATTTTTAAACTTAGTATATTTGTTCCTTTAAAATTCGGCTAATATCTTCCTGCCAACGCTTAAGGGGTGGTGTAAATCCAGTTTGTATATTGTATTGTCCAAATAGGGTTATTAGGTTTAACTTTCAACACTAGTTTTAGTTGTAATTGTGATATTCTAGTTGCTTTACTGTCCTTCGATGACAGGTTTTATAATATATACATATTCCATTACAATGTAAAATGTTCTCGTCACGATATGGCTGAAATATTGCCCATGTGACGTTAAATTATAACTCACTCACTCACTCACTCACTCACTAAAAGTTGTTGAAATTTTCACCTTGATGGAAACGTATGGCAATAACTAAATGCAGTTTTCCATGTACAGAACAGAATGGACACAAAAGTAAAATATGAAATTCATGTTGTGTTACATTAAAATTACATTTGTCACATTTCAGTACATTGTTATTTATATTATTGTTATAATGTTCTTGTACATTCAACCTATGGCTTAAACAGTGCAATACAGGGATTGAGGCTTTTGTCTGCCTGATGGTTTAGTCTTTCACATGCTTCGGTATATCAACTTTGTGTAAAAACAATACCTAGATAGTTATAGTGTGACACAGCATTCCTTTTGTTTCCATTATAGAACCATTTTTCTGATTTCTTCAGATATCCACCATTTCTAAATACTGCTATACAAGATTTGTCAAGATTGACTTCCAAACCCATTTTGAGCGAAAACGAAACAATGTATCCAGTTTACTTTGTAAACGAATAACACTGTCACCAAGCAAGGTAACATCATCTGCATAAAGAAGCTACAATATATCACCTAAACCAACTTGGGTAAATATTCCTCCTAATCCACAATTATTCATTGCGTCCACAAGCTCATTGATAAAAACATATAAAACATTGCTGTATCCCAGATAATGTGTTAAGGATTTCAGATCTCTTATTTCCAACTTGAGAGATCAGAAATTTCGCACATCATCTAGGGTAAAGCCACCTTTAAGGTTGTACATGGAGTAGCTTTATTGGCATATTTCTCTATTTAACTGTTGTATGTGTACACGGAACTCTCTCACGACATGACTGAACTACATCACATCTGGTGAACACGTTTTGTACAAATCCAGTGTAGGTACAGCAAACAAACACACAGACAAAACGGCATCGATCGATTATCTTTATACCAGTGACTCGGTTATCAAAACTCGATTATTCATTAGTGTATGTTAGTTTGTCATATGTCTAAGAGGACTGATATGTAAACTATTATGATGTGGATCGTGGAGATAATTAGAATTGTTCTTCAACAACCCATGCTTGTGATTAATCATGCTTCAATAAATGTAATGTTTCACAGCAAAATTAAACTTGTAAAATAAAACTAGTCCCTTTTTATGTCCACATTGCTCTATGGGAGAGGCTGTATCAACTCCAACAACAATCAGAAGTTGTTTCGTATATTCTAACTTGACAAATATCTCTTATTCTATTGGTATATACTCTGCCTTTTCTACAAATTTCAATTGTGGTGTTATGCATCTCAACACAAACGACAATAAACACCTGTTTCACATAATGCACTAATATGGGTTATTTGAACAGCGCTTGACTCCAAAACACTTGGCCATGTTTTAAGCGGAAAGACAGACAGCAGCAAAGAAAGGGGAATGTCTTTAGGTGAGATTTAAAACTTGAGAGAGTTGTAGCAGATTTAATGTCCGTAGGAAAAGAGTTCAACAGGAAAGCAGCTGGATGCTTGAAAGATTCAAATGTATTAACCAGATATACCTCTCTTATGTTATTGGTATATTCTCTGGCGTTTGTGCATATTTCAATTATGATATCACGTTGATGTACTTTTCTTTTAAGACGGCAACCTGAGTTGTTAAAACAATATCCCAAATATGTTTTAATTGAACCGATATTTTCCAATTCTAAAACAATATTTAAACATCCAATTGGCGTGAATATTACCCACAGGTTGACAATAACACGTGCTCCTTATCAGCCGCTTTTAACCTGACACCTGATCATGTCTCGGCATTGGCATCTTTTGGCACCACTGGGCCAAATTTGTTCCAAAGGGTGATGACACTCAGTACATGTGCAGTTTGTTAATGGTCTCGACACATCAGGTGCGTGTTTTGATGTTCACTTTGTGATGGTAATATTGTTTTCAGAATGCACTCTAGATTGTAGGCTATATTGGTCTTCCACAAATGAACTTGAATAATCACGTGCCTGCTCCCAACAAACATTGTTCTTCAATTTTTTTTGCAAGGCTCTCTCAACAGATTTAGATAGGGTTGCACAGCCTTCAGCATCAAACGAATGCAGCTCAAATATATGAGTAAAGATAAAAGTAACTGCTGTAGAAATACTAGGGAAAAATACACATACTTTCACTTGTACTTTCCGCTTGTTTTCATTTTATTAAGTGAATCAATTTAAGAATGTCCCTGCATAGCAAAAAGGCTCGTTGATTACTGATGGACAAAAGTACTCATTATGTTCTGATGTTAATAGGTTAACAACAGTTAGTCTATTGTAAACAGAAGCACTTTCCGCTTGGGTTGGCAAACTCAAAATTAGGTAATTTGGCCAAGACATCGGTGATCTAATATCGTTCAATAACGATCGTTCAATAAGCGAAATCGATACAACTGTTTCATACTTAGATCTATACATAAAGTGAGTGAGTGACAAAAACACTTCAAAAGGCTGTACGACGAAATGGATGATTTATATTTTCCAATAGTCAACTTCTCTTTCATGTCGAGCAATGTTCTAACAGCTCCAGGCTTTGGTGTTTATATTTCACAACTTTTGAGGTACAATGGAGCGTGAGTCGAAGGTTTCAAAGAGCGCCATACCATCATTGCTCAGAAGTTGTTTGATACGGTTACAACAATCAAGGCCTCGGTAAAGCTTTCAAGAAGACTTACCTGTACAGAGGATTTTGTGTAGAGGAGCATGGGCGTTTGAAATGCACCAAAGCAGTAGGTTTTTAGTTGCCTGTCAACTGCATGTTCGTTCCTTTGTATAGTTGCATTGTGTACTGTACCTACTGTCATGTCGTGGAAACTTAAATGCGTGTACATAATTTGATTGTAGAATTTGTAATACGGTTGGTGAATGTAATTTATCAGTATAGCTTCAGCTCTTGTGCAGAAGTTGGGTTTATATTCTGGTCTTATTGTGTAACTGAGTATATATCAGCGGATATAGAGTACTAGTATTTGTTGGTGTATGCTATATGTCTACTGTATAATGTGTTCTTGTTTGTATTTTGTTGCTTTGGAAAATATAATTCTCTTCTTGAACATTATTAATTCGCGAACATGTTGTCCTTCTTTGTACAGTTCTGTGTAATGTGCATAAGCACTCCCAGTTACTGTATGTATCACGTTAAGAAATATAACAAACGGAAACCGAATGGGTAACTAGTACTGAAACCCAATGGAGCCTTACTGGCTTCAGTTTTCCGTAATCTTATAAATTTCCCTTTACAAAACGTAAAGGAGACTTCCCGGTTTCCTACAATTAAGTCATTTTTATGCGACAATATCCTTTATTTGAATCCTGACATATAATCTTGGCGGGCAAATCACTGAAGCGGAATAATCATCTCGTCAATAGA